GTAATGAAGCTCCGTTCTTAAACCCAGCAAACACATCATTATACATGTGCAGCAAAGGATTACAGAGGTTAACTACACATAACCTACAAAGCTACATTTAAGTCATTTTTTATATCTGTTTGTCCTTTTCCTGAGGAGATAACAGTATGCAACTCAAAAGCTGAATATTTAGAATTCTCAGACTTGTAACCTCTCTATTCACTGTTCAGGAGTTCCATTTAGCAGAAACTATGCAAATTCGTCCTTTTATGAAGGTCGGCACAGTGCAATATTTTACAATCTGACAAAGAGGTTGACTTTCGAAAAAAAGCAAAGACAGGACATGATGAGATCAAATCTAGCTAGAGGCTCCTAACCTCTAGCAATATATTGCATCCACAAAGAATACCAATAAGACATTAATAAACAAAATACGAATTGATTGGGCCATGTTAATGAAATAATATTTACCGAGTTCTGTCTACAGCAGATGCACCAGCCTGACCAGCAAGTTGACGTTTCCATGCATATGCAACAACAGCACCATCTGGACAAACCAGAGGCATATGAAGACCCCACGAATTACTTCTGGAGCGAAGAGATTCATTGAGAACCCCAGAATCCTCTAACTGCTTACCTGAAAAAAGGAAAATGTTTATTAGCACCTGACAGCAAGAGCTAAGAATGAAAAAAGGGTGACATAGATAACACTAACATCAACTAGCAACCTCATTTATGAATCTGTTCCATTTACATTATTTAATTCCTCTTCCACATACATAATTCAGGGGCTTTCCCATCATCTTCCTATCCTCTTTCATTTTTAAGGAACCTAATCAGTCCTTTTTCACTTTTCCTTCCACACATAAATGGACCGCACTCTCCTTTCTATTCTCGTTGGTGGTATTTTTATCCATCTCTAGCCAAATGACGCTTCGTCAATCTCCTCTATAATCAACATGACAAACATCGACATACATACCGTGAATAATCAAGACCGTTATCTTTCTTTTATCTCACCAAATATGACCCGGCTGCTTCTCTTAATAAACTGTTTCCTGGGCAATAAAAGTTCAAAAGCATGTAAATAGCTTGCCCCTGTCTCCGCCCTCCCCTTGCATTCACTACGTAACAATGTACCATATTTCGAACATAAACAAACCAAGCACCTCAATAAATCTAAAATAGACAAGCACAAGCACACAATCTTCAAACTTTTTCGGACAAGTACAAACTTCAAACTTTATCTATTATGTGAACTTAAAATACACTTCAATCTTCAAAATCCTATTCTTTATCATAATCATTTCAAAGAAAACGCAAAAACCAACACTAGCATTCAAATCTTCAGAATATCGTAACATTTTCTATAATTCAAAGCGCAAAAATCCATAAAAATTAACAAAAATTATTTTTAAATTATTTTAAAAGAATTTGCACACTAAACTTAACAAGCACACGCAGAGATGTGCAGAATATATATATATACCGATGGTGCGGAGGTCTTGGAGGTATTGGCGCATGGAAGCTTCTTCTTTAACGATTAGCTGCAAGGGTTTGGAGGATTGCTGATGCGGCTCGGAGGCAGCAACGAAAAGGGCTTCGAGGAGGCGATCGGCGCCGATTCTGATGTCAGCAATGAGGCGGCCAGCTTGAGCTAGCCGGTCCATGGCTAGCGCGACCTGTTTCGGTGGCGCCTCAGCAGTCTGTTGGTCACTAGACGGTGCTCCGGCGGAAATCGCCGCCGTCTGTGGTGGTGCCGGAGATGACTGCTGCTGTTGCATTTAGTCTTAATTATGAGTTGTGTTCTGATTTAGGGGTTTTGAAAGGAGCGGAAATTTTTAGTTGGGTTGGGTTCAGACGACAAGGGGAAAGGCGAAAATAAATAAGTACACTATAATTTTAGTGAAAAACAAATTGCTAAGAAATTAATTAGGGTAAAAAATAAAAAAACCCCGTGATAAATCTATACATAAAAAATCTCACGTTTAAATTATAAAAGTGACAGAATTCATTAAACTTAACGGAAATGACTTATTGAAATCTAAAAATAAACTTATACCTAATTTTTAACAAATATACATATTCTGCCCCTTAACTCTCAATTCTCCCTCTCTCTCGAGAATAAAATAAATGATTTTATTGAGTTGTCTTTTGTTTAATTATATCAGAGCATTTTTGTCATTTCATTCATTTTCATTAAATTTAACAGATTTCGTCATCTTTACAATTTAGTTCAATAAATGAGGTGTTGTGTTGTATATTTTAAAATCATGAGGATTTTTCTATATATTAGATTTATTACGGGTTTTTTTTATTTTTTACCCAATTAATTATGGATTAATCTTTCCTACACTGACAGTGTATACACTATCAGCGTTGGATGAATGACAACTATGCAAAATTTGAATTTGAAATTCAACTTTTGCACACATGTCATGAATCCAACGCTGATAGTGTATACACCGTCAGTGTAGGAAAGATTTACTCATTAATTATTGGGCCAAAAACCTTAAAACTGTCCCTTCACCTTACATTCTATTCTCCCTCCCCCTCCCCCCTCTCAGCGGCATAAGTTAGGGGTTTTGTCTTTCTCTATTGTCATTGATTCTCGCATTAATGAGTTTAAACAAAGACAACCTAATCAAACAAGTAAAAGTTCTTGAATAATGTCCAACTCACTCATAAGTTAAAGAGTACATTTTATATATACTAACATTGTATATACTGTCATGATTCGATGCATGACGCATATATAAAATTTGATTTTTAAATTCAAATTCAAATTATGTGTTATGTGTCTAATAGTGAAAGTGTATACAATGTCAGTGTATAGAAGATTAATTCATAAATTAAGAGTAAATCTTATATACACTGACAGTATATAGACTATTATGATGAAATACATGACGTATATGCAAAATTTGATATGTCATATATCCAATGCTGAAAGTATATACATTATCATATATATAGAAGATTAATTTATAAGGGTTTCTCTATACTCTTATTACGGAGTCGATTGAAGAAAAACAATTTAATCAGCTACACAAAAATAACCAGCGATTTAATTTTCCTCACTATGAGATACCCTGTTGATTAAACGGCTTAACATATTTAACCGGTGACTTACTCCGCTCCCAAATAACTTCAAGAAAGACCACACAGCTAGGCCTTGAGGACAGAGAGACTCGAGAGGTCATCCCTTCTCAGGTTTCCGACTCCGTAAAATCACTCTACGCGGTGAAGAAACAGGCCTACTGGAGCTGGATAAATTTGTAGGATTTAAAGAAACGAGAATAAGGAGAGAAGAAGAAGAGAATTAGAAACGAAAGAAGAGAGAGAAAGCAACCAAAGAGGGATGGTCATTATTTGACCAAAAATTATTTATTCGCATCATAAATACAATTTTCAATACATTTTTTTTATTTTATATACATTATATTACAAAAATACTATAATAATTATTGTAAATAACATTTCAAATAATCTTCCATCCAAACACACTCGCTATATTTACATCTATGGAATTAGAACCCTGGATGGAGTAGTATAGTCTTGCTCAACCCACCAAATAATGCATTTTTTAACAAAATCATGCATTTTGACAATTTGGGCCTAATAACCAATTCTACATTACTAAACGATGTAGGTGCACTTATTAGAACATGAACCCCATCAAAGAATTTGGGTGCAATTTTCCTATTTTACTATTGTTGCATGCTTGCAACTTGCAAAGTCGCAATATTGGAGCTTCTCGGAAGATGGTTTAGTTACATTTTGTTTTATCTTTGTGTCAAATGGAAATATTTTTTCTCACGTTTTATCCGTAATCGAAAGGTCATGAGTTTGAATCATCAGCAGAGTAAATGGAGAATCAGTATTGATTTTCTTTTTAAAAAAAGGACAAAAAAGAAATATTTTCCGTTGCACACTCGCGTCCTTTCTAAAGTTAGATTTTTTCCCCCAATCCCCTGTATTCTAGTTCTAGAATAGAAAATTCTGTACTCAGCTCCTAAAAAACAAAAAACCAAAAAAAAATAGTTCTAACAAACCACAAAAAAAAAAAAAAATACAATACGCAGTAGCAATTGGGTTCAGTGTTTGCTCTCCTTTCCTCTCCTCCAGCTTGAAAAAATATATAAATTGTATGCGATGAGGCATATTGCATATAATTCATGTTAATCAGCATTAAACTCTTTTAGTTCCTTGCAAATTACATCCACTGATTAGCAAGCCCCAAAAGCTCGATAATTTTAGTGATGATGGGTGAGGATACTCACATCGGCGGTCCCTTTATAGCCGAGATGATCTCATTTCATCCCTCACACGAGCGCAGTCATGTCTTGAACATGACCCCTGAGCTCGGCCCGATCTCTGATCACCTGCCTGGGTGGCCTCTTGGCCCCCACCTCGCCTGCACGCTGATGATGTTAACCCGCCTGACATCCTCCAGAACCAGTGCTTTATCTGAAAAGCACTGATGCTCTTAATGGCTACTACGCAAGGTTCCCCGTCACCCTGCCCAGGCGGCTACAGTGTCAGAGTCAGACCTCCTGGCAGGGAACAGAGCCGTAATAGCAGGACATGGGTCTCACTAGCATGAGCCCTCCGTCCTGTCATCCACTCTTACTCTATAAATACCCCTCATGTACTCCCAACAAGTAAGCATACTGTTCATTCACATATACTATTGCTTTTTTCTCGTTCTCATACTAACTTGATCGTCGGAGTAATCCCAGGGAAGAAGACCCGCCATCCACTTCGGATAAGCAGACACACCTCACTTCACCTGAGAAGGGACTGATTTAGGTCGGTTCAACTACCCACCAAAAATCACCTCTTCAATTGGCGCCGTCTGTGGGAACGAGATTACTGCTAAAATGAGATCCACGCGCTCCAAAAGCGGGAGAGTTCCCTCAACCGGGGCTGGGCAAATCTCGGGAGCCCAGCAAGATCGCATTTCTGAAGAACAAGGGTCCCCAAGGACCCAGCCCAACAACGAAGACGCCATCGCCAAGATGGCCAAGTTCGTAGCTGACAATCCTAACATTTTCGAAGAACTAGGGAGGTATTTCAAGAGGCAGGGGAAGGAAAAAGCCGAATCCTCCAAGAGGAGATCGACGAAATCCCCTGAAATACCTTCCGGTGAGGACTCCGATGAGGGGCACCTCTCTCGGAGCACTTCCAGGCCCGCCTCTTCCAAGGCGACCTCTAAAATTGCCTCTATTTCCCGGGCGTTTTCCCGGGGTCTACTGGGAAAACGAGCTGAGGACCCACCTCGGCGCTCCGGAGGCTTAGCAGCCGACTACATGAGGGTTCCGCCCTTTACTGATGACATCAATGGGGAAATGGTTCCCCCAAATTTTGAACTCCCAGTTTTGCATTCCTATGATGGCCGAGGTGACCCCGAGGATCACCTCCGAGCCTTCATCTCTGCATTCCGACTCTACTGCGTCCCCGACGTCGTGATTTGTCGAGTTTTTCCCATTTTTCTACAAGGGACAGCCCGAAAATGGTTCTGGGGATTAGAACCGAGGAGCATTTCCTCACTGGACGAGCTGATAGATCGGTTCATCCACCGCCTCGTATCGTCTCAACTAATTACGAAAACTTCAACTTACCTCTTGAATCTACAGCAGGCTCCCGGCGAATCACTGCGCTCGTATGTGCAGAGGTTCAATGAGGAGAATGTGCAGATACCTTATCAGAATGAGCAGGTAACCATAGCTGCCTTCACCAACGAATTGATTGCGGGAATCTTCAATACCGAGATACATCGGGATTACCCCCGCACACTTCGGGAACTCTGGGAACGAGTAGACCAAGGAATCCGAAATGAGAACCTAAATTGCATGAAGCGAGAAGCTCAAACCGCTCATACTGGGCAAGAGTCCCGGAGGAAAAAAGACACCGGCCAAGTCGAACAGGGCCCCAGTGGCTCATCGAATCAATTCCGAGATCGCCGGAGTGTCTTCGATCACCTCGGACGTCGAGCTGACACCACTCAATTCCAGCCGGTCTCATGTCTTGGCTGTAATGAGGCAGAATCACCTCGGCCGAGCCCCTCCTGAAATTCTGGGGAGGAGGGATAAGAGGAATTCCAGCCTCTATTGTGCCTATCACCGAGATGTTGGGCACGAGACCGAGGACTGCAACGATCTGAAGCGAGAGATCGAGAACCTGATCCAACAAGGATACCTGAAACAATTCGTTCGCAAGGATGGAGGCTTCAACCGAAGCGTCTCCCATCGGGATAACCGGGGCCCCCGCCGAGAAGACAGGCTGGACACAAAGAATTATTGCCGAAATCCTGAGGACCCAAGGGAGGACCAGCGGCCTCCGCGCGACGGATCACCAGGCTACGGCCCTAACATCGCCGGGGTGATCAACACGATTGCAGGTGGCCCGACCGGAGGAGACAGCCAGAACTCCCGAAAATGGACCTATCGCTAAGCCGGTATGGAGGTGGCCGAGCCGAGCTCCCGGTTGTCCGAAGTGATTACCTATGGTCCCAGCGACCCTGTCCCTGCCGCCTCCAGCAATCACGAAACTCTGGTGATCGAAGTACTCACCAATAATTATATAGTAAAAAAGGTCTATGTTGACCCCGGAAGTTCGGTAGACGTCTTGTACTACCGAACTTTTGAAAGTCTGAAACTGACCAAAGATCAACTTACTCCTGTCAGAACTCCCCTCGTTGGCTTCGGGGGGCATATAGTCCACCCGGAGGGTATGGTGTCCCTGATGGTGACTATCGGGCGTCATCCCCGCTGCCGAACTGTACATGTCAGTTTTGCGGTGGTCAAAGCAGATTCTCCTTACAATATGTTGATAGGTCGGCCCACACTCAACGCCCTGAGGGCTGTGTACTCCACCTACCACCTGAGTTTCAAATTTCCGACGCTTGCGGGGGTGGCCGAGGTGAGCAGCGACGTGAACGCCGCCCGAGAATGTTACCTTGCTACCATCCAGGCCGCGGTCGCTCCCCGAGCTGCGTCAAAGGCTGAGGAAAAGAGGCCAGCTGTCCTCTCTATAGACAGCATCGATCCTCAGAAGGCAGGAAAGCTCGGCAAGCTTGAACCCGGGAATGAGGTGGAGCAGGTGGTCTTGGATGACTCGAGACCTGACCAAGTGGTCCAAGTAGGGGCCGGACTCCCCTCGCCTCTAAAGGAAGAGATGATTTGCTTGATAAAGAACCATCGAGACGTCTTCGCGTGGTCCGCTGATGAAGTGGTCGGAGTACCACTTGAGCTCATGATTCACCAGCTTAACGTTAATCCACAGACCCGTCCTATGAGGCAGAAACGTAGGCACTTTGGCCCCGAACGCAGCAAGGCCATATCTGATGAGATCGACAAGCTCTTGCCCGCCAAGATAATTCATGAGATCCAATACCCCACCTGACTGTCCAACCCCGTCATAGTCAAAAAGGACACCGGTGGATGGAGAATGTGTGTTGATTTCACCGACCTTAACAAGGTCTGCCCTAAGGATTGCTATCCTCTACCGAGGATAGACGCCCTCGTTGACTCGGCAATGGGACACGAAATTCTCTACTTTCTAGATGCCTTCAAAAGGTACCATCAAATAGAAATGAGTGAGGAGGACCAAGAGAAGACAGCGTTCTACACTGACCAAGGTGTCTACTGCTATACTACCATGCCGTTTGGGTTAAAAAACGCTGGGGCGACCTATCAAAGGCTGATAAATCGCCTCTTCAAAGATCAGATCGACCGCAATGTGGAGGCCTATGTGGACGATATTCTCGTCAAAAGTTTGACCACTTCGGCCTTCTGTCAGATGTGACGGAGGTCTTCGGCGTCCTGTGTGACTCGAGGATGAAGCTAAACCCCAAGAAGTGTGTCTTCGGCGTCACCTCAGTAAAATTCTTGGGATATCTGGTTTCCTGCAGGGGGATCGAAACTAACCCCGACAAGGTCAAGGTCATCCAGGACATGTCCCCACCTCGGAACCTCCGAGAAGTCCAGAGGCTAAACGGACGCCTGACCGCACTGAACTGCTTCCTATCTCAGTCCGCTGAGAAGGCTTTGCCCTTCTTTAAGGTGCTAAAGAAGGCCGATCAGTTTGTCTGGATTGAAAAGTGTCAGGCCGCCTTCGACAAATTAAAACAATATTTGCACTACCTGCCTACTCTCGCCTCACCTCGGCCCGAAGAAAAGCTGTACCTCTACCTTTCCGCCGCCGACGAAGCTGTCAGTGCTGTGCTCATCCGAGATGAGGGCACCTAAGTGCCAGTGTACTATGTCAGCCGAGCTCTCCGCGGGCCGGAGACTCGGTACACCCAGGTGAAAAAACTCGTGCTAGGATTGGTCCACGCGGCTCGGCGGTTGAAACCCTATTTCCTAACTCATCCTATTTCCGTTATGACAGACCAGCCTATTAGACAGATATTGGTGCGACCCGAGGTTTCCGGGCGCCATACCAAGTGGGCCGTCGAATTAGGGGAGTACGACCTGTCGTATGAGCCGCGCACCGCCATAAAAGCTCAAGCCTTAGCCGACTTTCTTGCCGAGCTCACCTTCACGGAAGGTCGAGAGTCCACCTCCGCCATTGCCGAGATGTCCACCTCACACTCGTGGACACTGTATGTGGACGGATCCTCTAATGGGGATGGCAGCGGAGCAGGACTGCTCCTGAAGGGCCCCCAGGAAAAAGTGTGCTCATATGCCCTCCGCTTTGACTTCCCGGCCATCAATAATGAAGCCGAATATGAGGCATTGATCGAGGGACTCCAGCTATCCCGCAGACTCGGCGCCCAACAGATCCACGTCCGCAGTGACTCCCAACTTGTAGTATGCCAAGTTCTTAGTGAATATGAGGCCAAGGATGAGACCATGCAATGGTATCTCTCCAAAGTCCACCAACTCACCGCGTACTTCAAATCTTTTGAAATCCAAAGAATCCCCCGCTTCCAGAATAGGCGGGCCGACGCCTTATCCCGACTGGCTTCCACATCATTCTCTGACCTCAACAAGACCGTCTTAGTGGAAGTGCTGAACGAGCCGGGATACATGGAAGAGATGGCCTGCCCTGTACACTCGGGAGATACATGGATGAGCCCGTTCATCCTTTTCTTAGGGCAGGGAGTCCTCCCCGAGGATCGAGCCGAGGCGAGAAAGATACAACGCAAAGCCGCTTGGTACGCTCTCCGCGATGAAGAACTGTATAAATGCTCCTACCTTGGCCCGTGGCTGAGGTGCGTTACGCCCGAGGAAGGACGCCTGGTCCGCCACGAGATACACGAAGACCTATGTGAGACTCACGTCGGCCACTGGATGTTGGCCAAGAAGACCTTGCTTCTCGGGTATTTCTGGCCTTCCGTTCGACAAGATGCCCAAAATCTTGTTCTCGACTGCCCTTCCTGCCAAATCCACGCCCCCGAGCACCACCAGCCCTCAAACTTCATGGTTCCAATCACCTCACCCTGGCCGTTTGAGCAATGGGGGACAGACATCATCGGTCCCTTCCCTAAAGCGGTCGGGGGTTATACCTTTCTTGTAACCGCTGTGGATTACTTCATTAAGTGGGTTGAGGCCGAGCCTCTAAGGACCATCACGGGGCTGGCGGTTCAAAAGTTCTTTTGAAAATGCATTGTTTGTCGTTTCGGCATACCTCAGGTCATCATCTTAGATAATGGGAGACAGTTTGTCGAGAACTCATTTAAAATTTGGTGCGAGAACCTCGGCATCAAACGACACTTCACTTCGGTGGGCCACCCCCAGGCCAAAGGTCAAGCAGAAAATTTCAACCGAACTCTCTTGCATGGCCTCAAGACCCGACTACACCGAGTTGGATCATCTTGGGTGGAAGAACTCCCCAGTGTCCTGTGGTTTTATCGGACCACGCCGAGGTCAGCCACGCAAGAGACCCCCTTCTCCTTGACCTATGGAACTGAGGCTGTCATCCCTGCTGAAATCCTTACACCCAGTCCTCGGCTGGCAGCTTATGCAGCCGAGGTGAACGAAAAAGAGAGACAGTTGGATCTCGACCTCGTCGATGAAAGAATGGACATTGTCTCAGCTCGGGTAGCTTCCTACAAAAACACCCTGGCCCACTATTACAATGCCCACGTCAAACACCGGCGATTCCAGCCAGGAGACTTGGTCCTCAGAAAAAACTCAATTAGCCGAACTGAGCCACAAGGGAAGTTATGCCCAAAATGGGAAGGCCCTTAACGAGTTGTGGAATCTAATCTTAGTGGGTATTGTAAACTGAGCTACCGAGATGGCTCTCTAATGCCGAGAACTTGGCACGCCGAGAACCTTAAATTATATTATGCTTGAGCATTTCATCAAATTATAACTTCAGATATTTTGTTATTTTCAACACACATCCGTCATTAAAAAATAAGGGGGACAAGCAGGGGATGAAGCAAGAAATTAAAAGAGCCGAAATGAGAAGAAATAGATACTTCATTTAATAAAAAGGAGTAATACAAAAAGAATACAAGAACCGAGGTAAGGAGTGCTACTAAGCACCTCCTACCTCGGTATTTCACTTCAAATGCCTACGAGCCTAGACCCCCGTCTTGGCTCCCTCCTGGCTTGTTTGCTCCCCGGTCTCTTCCCCGCCGGGGTGAAGCTCCCCTCCTCCTTCCCCTTCGTGCTCTTCGCCGACCTTCTCGCCGACGTCTCCCTCAGTTTCCTCTCCTTCGTCCTCCTCGAACACCTCGTCGAGCTCGGACAGCCATTTGTTGAATTCCTCCCTGACCTCGGCCAGGTTTCGTCCAGTTTGGATGCCCTCGGCCATCCGATAGCATAACTCATTGGAGTCCTCGTTGTAATTGGCATTGTTTCTCAAGGACTCCAAGGCCTCAGAGAGAAGGTGAGCAGCGGCCTCGTCGACAGCGGATGTGTATCCGAATATAAAACTCGGTCTCGTCAGTTGACCGAGATCCCCGATGAAGTTCTCGGACCTCCGAAAAGCCTCCACTGCCGAGACCCCAGCGCCCTCGAGAGCTTGTTCATGGGACTTCTTCACCTCGTTCCCCCTCTTCTGCTCTTCCTCGAGAGCCGACTTAAGGCTGTTGATGGTAGCCTCGGCCTCCTCTTCTTTCGTCTAGACTTGTTGAAGCCGTCTTTGAAGCTCCGCCTTCTCGGACTCGGACACCACCAGTTTTTTCTCCAACTTGGAGATCTGATTTTGCAACTTGCCGGTGTTCTGCTCCTCGAATAGGGTACAGTATCGATGTGCCATCTCGATCACAAATGCTGTGTTGGAGGCCGTGGTCACCATTATGCTCCGGACCACCTCGGCCGGAATCAGTTTCCTCGTGAACTCCACGTCCCTCGGCAAGTTTGACTGCATCACTAACTCTTGTGCAACCCGAGGATGGGTGCACCTATCATTGACCGAAATCGTCCACCCCGGACACCAATGCTCGCCGGGGTGGGTCTTATCTTTTCCGGAAAACACCGAGGGGCTATGGAAAC